ATTTCCAAAGTATCTTAGAAATAGAAAGCATAGTGGCAAAACTCAGAACTTTATTACAATTAGTTTCTGTTGGATATATGTGTCTGTGTATGTATTTCAGTATATTCAGTAAAGCATGCTTCTTTTTCATGTTGACACATGCATATATGAAATAATATATATTATTGCTTTTGCTTGAAATCTGTGTTGTGGCAGAATATGTACTTTTAAATTATCACCCATATTTTCTTCAAAAATAATAGCGTGAATAAGTCAGAGCTAGTGTTTATAAGAAACAACTTGGGATACTTAAGAATAGACAAGTGTAAGATTTATTATCACCTCACTGTGCATATGCATGGTTTACTGCGGAAATATAGGAGAATCTTTTTTTTTAATGATTACAATGAACACTTATGTAAAGATAGGCTTCTGCAGACCAAATAATTTTTAAATTGTATGTTTCAAGTATAACCAGTTTCATGAAAATACTTTGAAGACAACTACATTCACAGATGTCAACTGTGTGATTCTGTCTTTGCCTATTCTTCCCCRTCTCTCTTTTTCTTCTTCCCCCTGAATAACCTCTTTTGGATTTGGTTCGAGGTAGAATTTATCCTTCTTGTATTTTGTCCCTTGCTCCYGAGGCAAGATTCAAGGTCTCATGGCCAAGTTCAAGGTCTCATGCCCTCTTAACCTGAAACACCCTGTCATCCTAAAGGTTCTCAGGAAGCCTTCTTGTGGCTTCCTAAGACCTCTTCATCCTGATACATCATCCCACATTGTTAAATCCTGTAGTTTATTGAATTGGCTTCATGAATCCTGCAGAAATCTCATGCCAGGTTTGATGACTATGCAGCTACTGGCCTAATGCTGATAGGACAGGCATGCTTGCCATCTTGACCCGAGAGCAAAGTCGTACCAACTATGTTTGGTATAAATGGGCAACACCTTATACCTTTTCAATGTATACTTATTCTGCAGATGGCTCAAATTAAGAGATTTTTTTCATAACTTTATTCACAGTGTATTTATTTTCTTATCTACATAAGTAGACTATATTTCTCAGTAGATCTATTAGAATAACTTTGTTTTATTCACTACCATTGATATAATTTTTCAGAAAATATTTTAGATAAAAAACTTAACCCAATCTTAACAGTAATAAGCAGGAAGGTAACTTCTCTCAGATCACTAAYTTACGACCAAATGATGACATCTTCAGGACTGCAAATCTCAGTCCAGTGATCTTTATTCTATGATTGAACCTCTCATATTATGGGTTGATAACATACATGTTATTAAAGTGGAGAGCCACACCCAAAGAGGAATGGCAAAGAGTGGCAACCATCAGGAATAGGATTTCAGGGGGAAATAATCTCTTAAATATCTATGCAGTCATAACTCAGATAATTACCTGAAGTCACTGGTAAATAATTAACCGCTCTCCTCTGTCTTTTATCCTGCAACTCCTTAGTAGATGTTTCCTTTAATTGATTTTTTTATCCAGGAGGATAATGTTATATTATTATCATGGCCAAAATACACAMAAAAAATATTTTGTATTGATATCTTGGGTCAAAATACTTTGAATTATTCTTTAGGATGATGGATTTTCATCCATGTAGATTGTAAATATTGTTATGCCAATTAAGGAGGAGGAGGAGAAGAAGGAGATTGTGAGGCATCTGGCTACAATTGATGGGTAAAAAAATCACAGATCTCTTTCATGTCTGCTAGCATACCTATAATTGCCATTTATAATMAGATAAAATATAAACTATATAGTTTTGAAAAAAATGGAAAAGTAATTAATGAGTTATGAAGCAGCAAGTGAGTTAAGAAGCCATTAGTCCAAGAAATGGGCCAATCTTCCACACCATTAAATTGTCACCGGAAACACAGGCATCGACAAACACGATAAACAGCTTGTAAAGTAAAAGAAACATAAACTTGAATTCTAAGAATATAAAATTTGATGATGGAAATGACCTAAAAATATGATATTCATCATTAGTGTTCTTCATTACATTGATATCTTAGGAGTAGAACTTGTATGTCCCACCAGCAAAATAAAATAAAATGATCCTTCATGACTTTGAGGGAGAAAAAGTTGAAAGATAAGTTTTAATAATTATATAATTTTTTTTCTACAAATTTGTCTTAATTGTTGGCACCTCGGAGGGTTCGCCAGCTATAACAGGAAAGCAGAGGGCAAACTAAATGTAAAAGAGCCAATGAATAATCATTGTAAAACTGGAAATGACGGATCAAATTGCTCAGAAAGCCTTATTTTCCTTATGGATATGAGTAAATATATTGCATATAATTAAGTCAGAACTTCAGAGGGTGAAATTGTGAATTCATGGAATGGAATTGAATGTCTCAATGTCTTGTTCAGGGTGTTCAGTGATAGTAAGTTTTGGGTGTCTCTCATGTATCTGAATATATATAAAAAGAGATATGTAGTCAGTTTGATAACATACCAAGGTCTCAATATAAAAATTCACTTTAGCCAAGGTCATCCAGTACACTGTGTATGACACAGGGAAACATAGCGGCTGTCACAGAACCCACAGGATGGCCTTGCCAGAAAGCAGAACTCACCCAGACCATGACCAGCGCTCTCACTTCCTGTTTTTGTCCCCACAGGAGCCACCATCAGCGTGATCATTGACGTTGATGTGCATGCTTCCGTCATTGTGTCGGCCCTCATTGCCACTCTGTACACCCTGGTGGGTGGTCTCTACTCTGTGGCCTACACAGACGTTGTTCAGCTCTTTTGCATTTTTGTAGGACTGGTAAGTGGAGCCTTCCTCAGATTTGCCTCCTGGTCTTCCTCCTCCTCCTCTTTCTCTTTCTGAACAAAAGATAATGTGGTGTTTTATACCGACTCAGCAAAGGAATTAATGTTTTCCATCATGAGTGATACATAGTAAGTTGTACACCATTTGAAATTTTGTATTTTTCTATGAATTGATTAGATGGAAACTGTAGTTATTTCGTTAGAGGTGGACAGAAAAATGTGTGCTATGACTAATTCTCAGAAAGATCTAGGTCTTTGTTTTCTTCATGGCTAGCTCTGATGGAAACTTATGTGTGACACCCTTTGAGAACTGATGATATCACACTTTCTCCACAGTTCAGAAAACTAAAACTTTGGTAGTAACCCACACAAGTTTCTTTCCTGTCCTTGTGTTCATTTATCTATGAGACTGTTTATCAATTAGACTCTTCATAGGACATGGAAATTCTATTGAAAACCTTTTTTGTTAGAAAAATATCCCATTGGAAAAACTGTAGATTTCAAATTATAATGGTTAATAWCTGAGGTCAAAGAAAGGGCTTAGTTATATAAGGGATTATCTGTATTATTTATTGTCCTTAAGTCATGGATTAAATTAGGTAATATAGGTTTGTTGCATKAAGAAAGAGTACTATATAATTATGAAATACAAATACTATTCGTCTTATATTAAAAGCGTCTCTGCACATCTTGGGTGCATTCTAGTCAATGTTGATTCTTTGCAATTACATCCTAAAACAGGGAGATTATAATTATGCATATAATAATATTCATCACCTAAGACATGTCAAAAGAAAAATAAAGGAAATGGTGTGGCCACTCTTGAAGGTGTCACTGTGGGTTCACATACATGATCTCATCCAACACATACATTATGTCAGCTACAGACCCTGCAGGGCAGAGCCCTGGTCAGAGGCCACAGACAGAGCCAGCCAATGCTGAAGATGAATCATTTTCTGAAAGAGAGTCAAARCACTCTTCATTCTCGTCAGCTTTCTTTATTTTTCTTATGATAAAAAGCTTTTCGCTCTATTTTACTTTTTATTCTAGACACTTAGAGATGAAGAATGAATCCCATTCCTATTTTTTTCAATTTTCTAGCATTTGTAATAATATTCTAGAGGAAAATTTAAAAGAATTAACCAAAATTAGRTTTACAGTTTAACCCTAAATTTATATACCCTAGCAAAGATTACATTTCCTCTTTTTCTCCTAGACATTTTATTTGCATTTCGYGGAATGTAATTCAGTCATATTTTAATTGAATTTGAGAGTATTTAATTTACTCAATAACTTCCACTTTTTTATTTTTTAAATTGCCAAAATCAAGTTGACGGTGCAGAAATTCTGMTTTGTACTTAACATCATCATAAACTTTATGAAACAGAGAAAACAGAAGTAAATCTTCTCTCACTGTGTAGGAAGCGAGGTTCGTTTGGCAATGGCAGCYCTCATAACTGATGCACTTGTTATTCCAAGAGACACAGCCCCAGGGGATAAGTCTATTTATCAGTGATGTATGTGATTTCTCATTGCATGGCATGAGRTCAGAACTTAAAATACACAGGTACATAAATCAAGGAAGCAGGTGTAGAGATGGTAGGTCAAATATATGTAGGGATATATGTCAGAATGGTTTTTTGACTACAAAATGTAACTAAATTGATAAGAAATTGAAGATAAGAATTGTTAAGAAATCACTATCGAATTAACTGAATAAGACTAAATAAGCTTTAATTGCTGTTCATGATATGTAATTAATTAATCAACTTATAACTCAAACCATCTTTTCTTCCCAGTTTCTCTAATTCTTTGGACATTATCATCACCCTGGCAGCTCCAAAGTCATAAATTTCAGATTTCTTTTTCAGATTCCTCTGACCTCCCTGTTGACCTCTTCTGACCTTTCTCTGTTGACTCTCTTCATTTTCCTGTTCAGTGCCAGGATCTTTCCATTCCTGATGTCACTGCTTTATCCAGGGGCCACTGAAACCATCTATGGCCCTTCCATACGACTACATTCTTCCTAATTATTTTTAATATTTATGGTGTTAAAATTTAGAGGAAATTTCACTGACTTTAAAAAAAAAAACTCCAAAGAACTTCTTGTAGCCAGGCACTGTGGCACATGTCTATGATCCCAGTGACCAGGGGTGAGGCGGGACCATTGCAAATTTGAGGCCATTCTCAGCAACTTAGCATGACTCTCTGTCTCAAAATAAAATTAAAAAGAAAAAGAAAACAGGGTTGGAGATGTAGTTCAGAGGTAGAACACCCTTAGATTAACTTTTTTTGGGGGTGGGTGCCAGGGTGAACCTACSGGTGAGTACTCAACCACTGAGCCACATACCCAACCCTTTTTAAAATGTATTTTATCTAGAGACAGGGTCTCACTAAGTTGCTTAGTGGCTTGCTAAGTTGCTGAGTCTGGCTTTGAACTCSCAATCTTCTTGCCTCAGCCTCCTGAGCCTCTGGTCATACAGCCATGCAGACACCATGCTGGGCCYCTGGGTCAAATTCTTGGTACCACATAAAATGCATGCAAATTCCTTGAGTTTCCACTTGCATACAAAGCAAAATATAAATATTTTGGCTTGCAACTCAAGGTTCTCTGCATGTCTATCTTTATTGCTCCCATTTCCCTAAGCTACTCCCATGCCAGCAAACTTTGTCACCCAACAGATGTGGGCATATGCACACAAACACAAAACATAAAACTTATACTGTTAGTCTTCTACTTTCAATGGCTCAACTTGGAAACTTGTTTTTTTGTTTTGTTTTTGTTTTRCTTTATGAGGGTGTAAAACTGAAGCATGTTCAGTAAAAACCACAATTTTAATTTTGATTTTGGATCTTTTCCTGGGCTACCTAGGCACAGCGAGTGCAGTCTTTTCTCTAGTGGCAGTAGCCATTGCTCCTGGTCAGTCACATAATCATATGGGGAAACAACTGACACTCCACAGTGCACAATGTGGCTAAGCTATGGTGCTTGGTAGGTTGGGTGGATTCAATGCAGCTTTGCAATTTTTTCARCTTATGATGTGTTTGTTGTTGTGTGACCCCGGGGTAAGTCCAGAAGTGTATGTTTTCTTCCACTCTTTGCTTTGCTTCCTCCAGATGGTCTCCTCCTTTGATTTCTTTTTCTTTTACCTATAAGTATTGGGCCCATTCTTCAACACTTGTTTTACCAACAAATTTCTCACTTAAACCTTTCCGTGTCACCTTAATGGGTGGATATCTTTCCCTAATTCACATAAAACATAAAAGTGTGTGTTTGTGTGTCTCTGTTATGTCTTAAATGTAGTATTTTCTTCTCAAAGTTTTCAGGTGACTGCTCCTATAGTTTATATGATACGGCATAATCAAGCAGAAGTAGATAATGTGTTATTTTAGGTTTATTCCATGATGTCCCATAGTTTCATGTTCTTCTTTGAATAGGGGAACTCCTGAGCCACTCCATGTACAAGAAAAATAAACTAGGTGTATCAATTTTGCAATATGTTAATCAAGTTTAAAATCACAGACTAAGACTCCAATGTCGCTCTTTGTTCCAGTGGATCAGTGTCCCCTTTGCCCTGTTACATCCTGCCGTCTCTGACATTGGATTCACTGCTGTACACACCAAATACCAGGAGCCCTGGCTGGGGACCATTGAGTCCTATGAAATCTACACGTGGCTTGATAGTTTCCTGTTGTTGGTAAGTGATGCTCTGACCTGAGGAAGGACGTCTAATCGTCAATCAAAGGCATTTTCAAGATTTTCGTATTTATCCTTAAATATTTACCTGCTGGCGCCTGGCCTTCTCTGTGTAAGTACCACATACTGATTTTACCACTAAAGCTCCATCATGGCCATCTCTGAGCTCATCTCCAAAGTGCATTCATAGATTGCTCATACACACCGTAAGCAAGGATGGGTTATGTCATTTAATTAAAGCCCAATATCACATTTAGCTGTCAGGTAAAAACGAGTATAAACAAAATTCTGACGTTCTCTCTGACATGCCGCTATATTCTCTATGCTCTTGGGCACTTTGCAAAACAATGTAATGCCTTGACTCTTGCAGTAGAATGGGAATTACGGAGCAGGAACCATGCCCTTTTCAAGTTTGTGTCATATGACCACTACTTGTCTGGTGCAGGGTGAGAGTCTATAAATATTTATTGGGTTGTATTGATTCAGATTTCATTTCCTACTTTCAGAATCTTAATCATTTTTTGATAAAATATTTTATGGTTCAAATTTGGGATGAGAACCAACTGAGGTCTTCTGGATAGTTTTAAGGCAACTTAAATCAGTAAATTTAGGAAAAACAAGGATTGTCTTGTCTAATTACTAAGGAAGACGAATTAAAGAAATTTTCCACAATCAAAAATATGCGATAATGTTGTCTTAGTTCTCTTGGGCTACTAGAATCAATTATTATAAAGTGAGTGACTTAGAAACAACAGAAATGTGTTTCTCACAGTTCTGGAGGCTGGCAATTGCAAGATCAAAGGGCTGGCCAATTTAGTGTCTGATGGAGACTGTACTTTCAGAAAACTTGCTGTTGTGTTCTCACAGAGTAGGAGGAATTCATGAGGGCTTTACCTATGACCTGTTCAATTCCCAGGGCTTTACCTATGACTGAATCCCTGTCTAGTACCTGATTTCATCACCTTGGAGATTAGGATTTCAGTAGACACATGGACAATAACAAACTTCATATGACAACCAACATAATCACAGCAGCTGAGATTCCTGGCCCTACTTCTGACTATTCTAAATGCAATTGTTATAAACCTCTTGTTTAAAAATATTGGTAAATGTGAAATCCCTTCAATTCACTCTGAGTCTTTGGGGTTCTCATGCAGATGCTGGGTGGAATCCCGTGGCAGGCATACTTCCAGAGAGTCCTCTCCTCGTCCTCAGCCACCTACGCTCAAGTGCTGTCCTTCTTGGCGGCTTTTGGGTGCCTGGTGATGGCTCTGCCATCCATCCTCATTGGGGCCATTGGAGCATCAACAGGTAAATCTCTGGGAGCTTCACCATCGTCGTCACTTAATTTGCCAGTTCCACCACCTGTTGCCTTCCCTGTTTTACTTCTCTCTTACCCCCACATAGTGAATGCCTCTTCATTCATGGTTCCTTATGTGCCTTGTAGAGCATTCAGCAAACTGCATTACAGCTCAGCGATCTCCACGTTTTTGGATTGCTTACTCCATTGACAAACATTCATCAGTACACCTCCTCCCCCGTTTTGCTCTATTATCAATTGTATCCACTTCCGTCCCCAGTGGTTCTCAACCATGGTGCACAGTGACCTCACCTGAGTGGAGAGGGACTTTCTACAACACATCTACCCCTGGCCTACTCCACAGGGTGTTTAATAATCAAAAATAGAGCCAAACACTAGTGTGTGTGTGTGTGTGTGTGTGTGTGTGTGTGTGTGTGTTTAATAGCCCCCTCTGGTGAGTCAAAGCTAAGCCAAAGTTGAGAGGCACCAGCTTAAGAAAAATTCACCTGTCTTCATGACTACCCACAGACCACTCTGAACTTCAGAGTCTACCTCTATGATTTCAATAGTTTGTTCAAGGTTCCCCCCCCGCCCTTGGAGAAATAAGTGAGTATGTGTATGGATGAAGATAAGCTAAGAAACTAAATGGTAAAGAGAAAGGGAGAGAGAAAGATAGAACACAATAAGAAATGTTTTTTTTTCCCCCTGTTAGCCCTTATGTGAAACACTTTTAAACTCTCACCTTTAATTTAAACTTAATCGCTCCTCATCCTCATGTCCCTTATATGGTGGAAGAGAAAACCAAGCTCCTTGGGCCTCTTTCATCAGCATATTGATCACATGCAGGAAGGCTCTGCCTTCATGACCCACTCTTCCATCCAGGTCCTGTAATACCTAATTTCAACTCTTGGGGATTAGAAATGAAATAAACTAGGAGGGCATAAACTTCAGACCTTAACTAACATCATGATAGCCATGGAAATTTTTGGCATGTTCAGTGTTTTCCATATTTTAGAGTCAGACTTCTGACTATTCTAAATGTGATTGCCATACAACTCTTAAGAGCATTTAAAACACATCACATTAACGAAATCCAAAACAGTAACCTAAGTAGAGAAAAATAAAAGAAAACAATTTTTCTTTTATCTCATTGTATTTTTTTTTAAAGATGACCCAGGGTGATGCTCCCATGGTGACTCTGACTTTTAATTCAAGAGCCATTTATTGGATTGTTTAGTTTTTGAAAGAGCCGTCATGGTTCATAGAACACTCTTTTCATTCCAGTTGTTGGTTCATGATATAAATGAACATTCAAAAAGATAAAAAAGATGTGCAGTGTCTGGCTTTTGGGGGGGTGGAAAATTTTTAAAAAACAGGATTTATTTCATAAGCAGAAGACAGATCTGGAGATTATTTGGAGGGTGGTAGGAAAACAGACTGATTAAAACAGCATAAAGGCGGTTTTTTTTTGGACTGAGTGTAACTTAGCAGTTATTTCTGGTATCATGTCATCTCTGTTAAGTCTTTAGAGTTGGCATCATCGTTTCAGCATGGCTTTCATGTTGATCATAATGGAAAATGGGGAAAGGAAAAGTAGCAGGATCCAAAGGAAACCACCCTATCATTCTGACATTAAGGAAGTTCAGCAAATAAAAAAGGAATTATATTAATATGTGTTTACAGGTTCCTTGTGTTCTTCAACACAGTAAGCAATAAAGAAGCTACATATTCTAAGATAAACATATGCTTCAGTCCTCTTACCTTAATTCAAAAACCTTAGTTCAAAATCCTTCTGAAAAATCTCAGTTTTATGAGTATAATTTTTATTCAGTAAAGATGGTTCAGTTCTTAATCTAGCAAGTCTCCTGCTTCTTGTAAGTAAAATTCTACACAAGATTAAATGAAATTAGAAAAATTGTGCCAAGATAGCTCCTAAATCAAGCTTATATACAGGAAAAATGAGAGGTAACAACAGCCATGCTGTAGTCTCTTGCACACAGATAAATAGGCCTAAGGAAGTGGTCCAGAGAAAATTCTGTGGTTCAGTCTAAGAGCATTTGTTTTCTATGATTCTATGTAATATGATGCCACATTGCAGAAAAGGAGTGTGTATGTCATCATCATATTCTAAGCAGATGTTATGAATGAGACTGAAGGTCATCAATACCTTTAGAGGTCAGAACATGTAAGACATTTCCACATGGCCATCACCTGGACTTGCCACTTAAGCAGGCTAACGTATGTGATGCTCAGTTGGTTTCAGAACTGCCTAGTAAACAGCATGACCTGGATGGGTAGAGAAGATATGCCTCTTGGTTGTTACGCTTGTGGTTTCTACTCAACAGACTGGAACCAGACTGCATATGGGCTTCCAGATCCCAAGACGAAAGAGGAAGCGGACATGATTTTACCGATTGTTTTGCAGTATCTCTGCCCTGTGTACATTTCTTTCTTTGGCCTTGGTGCTGTGTCTGCTGCTGTCATGTCTTCAGCTGATTCTTCCATCTTGTCAGCAAGTTCAATGTTTGCTCGGAACATCTACCAGCTTTCCTTCAGACAAAATGTAAGAACACTTTTTTTTTTTTAAATTTGTAATTTATGATTATTGTTGCTATTTCTGCTGTCATTGTACTTAATGTTTTTGTAGAATATGTATGCTTACAGATTCCTTATATTCAACCTGTGCTGTAACTAAGCAGTAAAAAAGCTACATATTCTAAGACAAACCTGAACTTCAAGTTATCTTATCCTATCAAGTTCAGATTCAGCATCCCTAATCCAAAATGTGAAATTTGAAATGCTCCAGAATCCGAAACTTTTTGATAACTGATATGTTATTACAAGCAAGAAATTTCACACTATGAAACTTTTATACTCAAAATTATTAAAAATTCTGCATGTCAGTCTATGTACATCAGGTGTATATGAAACCTAAATTAATTTCTTTTTTAAACTTGAGCCCCATCCCAAAAATCTTTCACTATATAAGTGGATATTCCAAAATCCAAAAATATATGAAATCCATTGCTAATACTAGGCATTTTAGATGAGGAATGTTTAATCTGTAGATATGTGTTCATATCCTGTATTAATTCCATTTTCTGTAATTCTACATTCTGTAAACTTTGATTAGGCATACTAGTTTAAATGACACTGAGCTTACATGTGCTGAAAATGCATGTTAACAATATATTTTATTATTCATGTTTTTTAAAAATATTTATTTTTTAGTTGTACAAAGCACCTTTATTTTGCTTATTTATTTTAATGTGGTGCTGAGGATCGAACCCAGGGCTTCACATGTGCTAGACGAGTGCTCTACCGCTGAGCCGCCACCCCAGCCCTATCATTCATGTTATCCTTAAAGGAACAAGTCAATATAACTATTTTCCAAGATATTTCATCATGTTGCCATAATTAAATTTCTTGTCTTCTGACAAAAGATGACTGCATCTTAAAATATCTTAGCAAACCATTTAGTCTGATTAAGCACAGTAGGAGACAGAAAAACACTGGTAGAAGCAGGACACTCTAAGTTATTTTATGCATATTTGTGTAAACTCTGAACTGCTCTTCATTTAGACTCCCAAGTCTACCTTTGTCATAAAATATCCCCTCGATTTAATCTTCTTTACTGAATCGAGTGGTTGTAGAACAGAAGGCTTTTGTAGTCCCTGGGGGACCAAGAACACCTCTGGAGAGCCTTTCTTCCCTCCGGAGCTGGGTCTCTTTGTGTTTTTAGGTCATTGTTGCAAAGTAGTCCCAGTGGTTTTAACAAGAAAATGTCATGGAAAAGCCCTTTTGTGTGGCACCAGAAGGTGGTTAGTCTTATATACGGTAGTATTCCTACAAAGAGAGGAAGTAAGGACAGTCACAGCTCTCTCAGTGCCACATGAAGACTATTCATGAATACATACAAGCAAAATTCTCCCTTGCCCCTTGTCCCTGGATGATGTCACATTAGCTCATCTCCTCCCCCTGTGCCTTCAGGCAAAGGATGTGGTGATCTAGCTTCATGCCTATGGTACCCAGAAGCCCCACTCCACCAACCACCTGGTAGGTCATCAAGATTGTGAGCTTCAGGTGTCGTAGGTTAGGTTGGGTTTGCCCACAGAGAAAATCGTTTGCCCTGGGGGTGAATAAAGATGCATCCCGATCTTCACCCACATGAGTCCACATATCGGTGCCATGCTGACCCTCGTCGATTTCTTACAGGCATCGGACAGGGAAATTGTTTGGGTCATGCGAATCACGGTGTTTGTGTTTGGAGCATCTGCAACAGCCATGGCCCTGCTGACCAAGACCGTGTACGGGCTCTGGTACCTGAGCTCTGACCTTGTCTACATCATCATCTTCCCACAGCTGCTCTGTGTGCTCTTTGTCAAGGGCACCAACACCTACGGGGCCGCGGCAGGCTACGTCTCTGGGCTCTTCCTGAGAATCACTGGAGGGGAGCCGTACCTGTACCTGCAGCCCTTGATCTTCTACCCTGGTTATTACTCTGATAAGAACGGTATCTATAACCAGAGATTCCCATTTAAGACTCTGGCCATGGTCACCTCATTCCTAGTTAACATCGGTGTCTCTTATCTGACCAAATACCTATTTGAAAGGGGAACCTTGCCGCCCAAATTAGATGTATTTGATGCTGTTGTTGCAAGGCACAGTGAAGAAAACATGGATAAGACAATTCTGGTCAAAAATGAAAATATTAAATTGAATGAACTTGCGCCTGTGAAGCCTCGACAGAGCGTGACTCTCAGCTCCACTTTCACCAATAAAGAGGCCCTTCTAGACATCGACTCCAGTCCAGAAGGCTCTGGGACTGAAGATAATCTACAGTGACACCATCTAAATAAAATACTGCTTTTGCAAACAGAGCACTCTAGTAGGATAGTCCTGGAAAGATGGTTCATGGCACATATAACACATATTAAAATTATAAACCACGTTCAAGAGAACAAAATCCTTGCAAAAAAAATATGAATATGCACTAAAGGAGGCATTCAGGAAAAGTCATGTGCCATTGCACAAATACAGACTAAGCTAGAAGGAAGCAGCTATGAATTTTATTTTATTTTTTAATTTCATTTTATTTCTCATCCATAGTAGTTTCTATTTTGACACTAGATAGTTTTGTTAGGAATATAAAGATGAAAATGCCCCCAAGAAAAGATGGCCCGATTATTTATCATTTTTATGGAAAAAACAGTGTGCCGATGAAAGAGCCTAAGAAAGGAGATTGGATGATTTTGATCCAAACTTTGTTAATGCACTTTTTAATGACCAGTGTTAATGCACTGGTGAGTCAGATTGTCAGACTGAGGCTCTGAGAATAACTCACAGCTACTCTGATGGATGATGTAATGAGTTAACCAGCTGATTTTTCTTGATATGATGATTAACCCCTTCTTTCGTGGTCTGAACTGAAACATCTGCTGAATATGCAATCTCCACTCCCCCCTTCTAGCGCAGGGATCCAACCCAACGTCTTGAGCATCTAGGCAAGTTCTCTGCTGCTAAGCTACACACTCAGCCCTGGAATCTGTCATTCTTTGAGTAATGGCATGTATTTTTCTGAGCACAGGCAAAGCAAACACACAACAATTATTTCATAGTGGCACTTTTTTTTATGTGCAAGATGATAGAAAAGAGAGATAATTCTGGAAAAAGAACACTGGGATCCTTTGAGTATGTCCATAACTAACGTGTGTGGATAATAATACCTGGAGCATAGCAAAATTATTAGGCGAATTTACAGCAATAAATCAAGAAGGACATTAAACCAAAAGTGATATGAAGAGATAAAAGATACATTTTTATCTTCAACTGAAGTATCTACAGTTTTGTTGCATGATAAAAGAAATAGTATTTTGGGTAACTATTCAAATCAGGATTGGAAGTGAAAATGGGCCATGGGTAAGGAGCAGTAGCTACGCAATACCATTATGGTCGATGAGAGGCAGACTACTAGATTAACATGTATTAACAGAAGTTCCCAAAGCACCTCCTCATAGTAAAATTGGAAAAACAAATCACACTTATTGTTTTATATTCATTAATGGGGTGACCTAGTATTAAGGGATCTGCTCTGTGGCACTTTTTTGCATAAGCCAGGTTTAGATATTGGACGGAAATTTTATATTGAATTTTAAAATGTGACCAAAAGTGGAAAGTAAAAATAAGTTCTAAAAGGAAGAAGCCATCAATTTTAACACTTGATGTGTACATAGTTTTCATGAGGTCAGTCATTATTATTTTACTCCTTTTCTGGAGTTAAAATACATATATATCTATATATATATAATGGTTTTTATCCATTATAGAATTATAAATTCTTTGACCACCAATCATACATTATTGAAATAACTGGAGCTGTATTGACAAAATCAGAGTAAATTTATGAGCTGAAAAATATTCTGGGAATTCTATTCAATAAAGAAAGCTAGTTTGAATTTTGAAACAGAAGCACTTTTTTCAAAAAACATACCTTTTTGTGATTCATAAGCAAAATACTATTAACTCCATGTCTGGCATTAAGTCTATATAATTTGTTCCTGACCCTAGAATTTTTTTTTTTTTTTTAGGTTTCAATTAGAATTATCTCAAAACAAATATTTTCTTAATTATAAAAAACAAGTTAAATTCCCAAGGTAGTTTGTTAATTGTGAAATGAAATCATTTTACATATTGTCATATCCTATATATTTACAGTGCTTTATTGAAACATGATGATAAATATGACAATGCGTTCAAAATTTTTTATTGAAAACCATCTATACCTAAATGAAGATAATTTTTTATTTATATATTTTTTTGAGGATCTACTCAGTACTGTGGAGTACTTGTGAGGGGTATACTTTTGGAAACTGAGTACAGGAATCCAAGATACTGAGACATGATTGAGAAGAGAGCTAGGGAAAGGAAACTGATTAGAGAAAAAACAGATAAAAACATATGACATGTAAAAGTATTGACTAATGGGGACTACAGATCCTGGGAAACTGGTATTCCACATGTACCATGCACCCAAATAGCAACTCTGTCCGTTCCATCACTGAAACATTCGTCTCAGCTCATTGGGGCACAGGTATGCACTATGAGCATCAGGAAGCACATCATCTACACTGTAGCCCTCAACAGTGGGGCATGCTCTCCACAGACATGGCTTTCAACAATTTTCTTGAGTAACAATTGTTCTAGCAACCATATTTAAATTCTGTGAAAAAATAATTAATATTAATAGTAAAATTTCTTCCCATTCAATTCATTTTGTAAAAATAGAAAGATACAGGGAAATACAAGGTTTAACCTGTCCAACTATTAAAACCAGCTAAATAATTTAAGTTAAAAGATAATGGACTTTCGTTTAACCCATTATTTCCCATCTGTTCTCAAACTAGGTATATGAAAAACTATTTTCAGATTTATAAGTGCACTAAATATTAGCAAGTGATTTTTAAAGTGCCAAAATGTCAAAAGGAATGAAACAATCTCAAGATCTTTATTAATCTGCACATTCAGGCATAAACTCCCCTTCAATTTCCAAGGAAGATGGAGGAGACTGGCTCTGTTTGTCATCATGGGTAATGTAGATGGTGTTGAAATTTTCCAGCCTCATTCAGTGTACCTTCAAACTTCATCCTCAATGAAAATAAATTACCCAGAACATTTTAGACACCGACTATATTAATCTTTGGAGGCAATACCTGTAGCTAAAGCATTAGAATAAAACACATTTTCATTTTTTGCACTGATTGTAACATGTTTCTTGGGTAATTTTAATGCTTTTTCCCCAACCCACATTCAAAACATCAAGCTTGTTGCTGGACTGATATATAAAAAACAAGCTTTCAAATACTCAGTGTCAAAAATTAAACTTCATTGCTACACTTACAAGTAATGAATTTTATGTGAATATCAAATGAATGTAAGCTTGAAACAATTAAATTTGATGTAATGGCTATTGGCTTTTTTATTTGAAAATAATGAATTAGCAATATATTTTAAACATGAATTATGAATTTTTCCTTTTTAGCTTTCAAAAAAATTTACTCTGATATAATATATAATTTATTATGTTTGCTATAATGTATAATTTATTATAAGTTTGCTACTGAACAGACAGATGCATATAATGGTCCTAAATCATATATTTTTGTCTGTCAAAATATTATATAAAGTTATGCTTAAAATAAGATTTGCAACTATACATGTAAATGTTTTAAATGTAAACGTGTTGTATTAAATTGTGCTGGTGCAATTCAGGATATATCATTGTCCAGGTTTGACTTTTTGGGACCTCTCTTAAAATAAATATAAATGGTGCTTGAAGATAGTCATGTAATGGAATTGAAACGAACCATCTCATTTCTGAGGATAAGCAAATGCTAAATGGAAATAGCACACCTTGCATAGATCTTAGGCCAATATACAGTATCATATCTCCTAACAAGATGAAAATTTTCTTTCTTTCAAAAGCTGTTCTACCACTATGCACAACTTTCTTTGAATCAAAGGAATCGGCACACAAAATATCTATTGTATTAACAAAAAGAAGATGTAAATCTTAAAAACCAAAAAGCTGTCTGATAGTTGTGGATGTAGTACATAAATCCAGTCACTAAGTGATGAACTGTTCCTAATTATGCTATAAATATGCATTGCATATATCTTTTACAACTCTTCAAGGAGGTCTTTAAAAATGAAATCATATATACTCTCAAGAGAACTTCGAAGTCTTATGCCTTTATCAAAACCATTAGTGTCTGGGTGGAAGGACCAGAATGAGCTTAAGGAGGAACAAAGGAAAGAATAAGTAGTTACAGGAGGGAAGCATCACACTCACTCGTCTGTCATTGTGGACATTCTTCCGCGTGTCCAGAGTAAGCATGCATTTTTGCTTTATCACAAATCTATGCTCTAGGGGGAATTATTAGGACCCAGGAAAGAGAAAGCATCAGTATCAATACTGGAGACAGTGTATGTTAAACATCGTGGGAGAGAGTCTGAATGTGATCATTATTAGCACTTTCCTAAGATAGACATTCTTGAAAGAGACCCAGGGAACCCCAGAAAAAAGATGATGATTCTTCCATTTAAATGATGATGAAAAACAATGATGATTTATAGCATTTAAAATACAACTATCTGGGCTGGGGATGTGGCTCAGCGGTAGCGCGCTCTCCTGGCATGCGTGCGGCCCGGGTTCGATCCTCAGCACCACATACCAACAAATACAACTATCTGAGGAAAAACCCCCAAACAGTGAAAATAGTCATGTTGGATTATTTAAATTATCTAAAATTAAGGAGTAGAAGGTAATTCTGTTTTGAATTTTGGTTGGTAAATTATAGATACCTATTTAGAAGAGGTACTGCATGATGTATTTTTGGAAGCAAAACGGTGTTGACTTATCAATTTATGATTTAGAAGCAGTTAAACGAAACACACACACAAGCCAGGTAGGATTTAAATCTAATGGTAGAATAGTCGGTGGTCTTGAAAGGGATCATGGTGAACAGCCCCCAACTGCCCTGTGAAGGCATCTGGAGCAGGCAAACACCAAAAGATGACGGAGGAATCACTTCAGGGCCTTAATATGGAGGGAGGTTCCTGGGAGAATAATTGAAATACTCAGGATATCACTTCTATCTTTAAGGCTTCTGATTAAACTGTCAAAGTCTCTCATATTTTCAGATTTTGATTATCTTCTTATTTGGAAGCCATTCAAAGAGTTTCAGCACAATTTTATAACAGTAGTCAAGAATAGAGCTATAAAGAAAGACACATATGGCCTCCATAGTTGTATGCTCTTAGCTAAGTCACATAACCTCTGTGGGCCTTAATTTCCCATACGGGAATGGCAAGTACCTGTCATTAGTTAAGTAGTGTGGTAGAAAACGCTTAAAATGTGTAGAGATGTGGAACAATAAATACAGTTCTCCAACTGGGA